GAGGAAGGAGGTAAATGATGAAGAGGAGGAGTCCGAGGACAGAGCCTTGGGGGACACCCGTGGAGACGGGGGAAGACTGGGAACGAAAGGATTTGAGCTGAATGAATTGAGTGCGGTCAGAGAGATATGATTTGAACCAGTCTAACGGAGTACCTGTGATGCCAATGGAGGTTAGTCTGTTGAGGAGGATAGAATGACAGATTGTGTCGAAGGCAGAACTAAATAATAACAGAAGTAATACATGCATTCATTACATCTAGGCTTGATTACTGCAATTTGCTCCTGTTTGGTATCAGTCAGACCTCCATTGCACGACTACAACTGGTCCAGAATGCAGCAGCCCGATTTTTAACCAGTACAGGCAAAAGAGAGCACATTACACCAGTTTTGGCCTCACTGCACTGGTTACCGGTTCACTTTCGAATCCAGTTCAAAATACTCATGTACGTCTACAAATCACTGAACAGTGTCGCCCCCCCCACCCCCCCATCTCTCTGATCTTCTACAACCGTATGTCCCACCACGTTCCCTGAGGTCAGCGGACCAGTTGCTCCTCACAGTTCCAGGAACTCGTCTTAAGCGCAGAGGTGACAGGGCCTTCTCTGTAGCAGGACCAAGACTTTGGAACGAGTTACCTCTGCTTGTCAGACAGGCCCCCTCCCTCTCGGTTTTCAAGTCCCGTTTAAAAACTCACTACTATTCAGCAGCTTTCAACACCAGATGATCTGTGTTTTGATCCTGTATGATCCACACTGGTTAGTCGTCATTATCTGCATTGTTTTTATGTCTATATTCTTATTTATCTCATTTTGTATATTGCTTTGTGTGTTACCTGTTGTTCTGTCTGTACAGCACTTTGGTTGGCCTTGTCGCTGTTTTAAGTGCTTTATAAAAAAAGTGGTATGGTATGGTATGGTAACTCTGTGGTAGCCTTTGTTCGTCCCACAACAGAGGTAGATTTCAGTTTTAAGCGGAGGATCCACTGTGCTGACTGTCCCATATTTGTCTTTTCACTTTTAATTATTTTTTTTAGCCTCTACTAGGGCAGGGTTCGGTTTGGATTCACACTTGGAAACAATATGTCCATCTTCCCCACAGCAGAAGCAGTACCAGGGCATAGGCCTCGAACTAGGATGGCTGTGTGAAGATATGTTGGCTTCAGGGTTTGCACGGTCAGGTTTTGTTGTTTGGATCGTTTTAGGCAGAGTTTATTTCTTTTGTTTCATAACTGCAGCTATTTGGCTTTTTAATTCAGCAACTTGTTATTTTTTTTAGATCACCTAAATCGTAAAGTGTCTATATCCGTTTCGGAAAAGTTACTTTTTGCTTCAGTGGCTGTTTGTTCATGTGAGAATGCTTTTGGTTTAATGGCACTAAAGTGTTTTCTTATTCTTTTGTTTCTAACTTCCTGTCTATTTTCCGCAGTACGGAGAAGGAGTAACAGTTTTGCAAACTTGGGTGGATTTTCTTCTTTTAACTCAGATTTCAGGTCTGTAAACAGTTTATCATCCCAACAACCTCTTTGAAACTGTGTAAACAGCTGTCTGTCTCTTTCTTTGGGGTCTGCACCACCACTGCACACTGCAAGACTCAGCTCCAACTGCAGGTGATGCAAGTAAACAGATGGTTTCTCTCCAGGATCCTGCAGAGTGTTCCTGAATCACGCAAGCAGTTCCTTGCCGTCTTCCACAGTGCCAAATGCAGACTCAAGCAGCTCAAGATGATCGACCAGTGATGCTTCAGGCCCAAGCGGCTGAACAAAATCTGGAGCTGGAGCGAGCAGGCTCTCCAGAACTCTCCGAGTCTTTTCCAGATTGGAAAGTGATGCATCTCCCATCATTAAGTCAACATGGGAATGCCATGTTTCATAATCAGCTTCAGTATATGGTCTGGGATCCTTTCCAGAGAAGGATTTCAACCTGAAGGCAGACTGAATGTTAAATGTCTTCTCTGTAGTTTTGATAAGGTGATCAACTACGACCTTCTGTAAATCAGGTGAGATAAGATCAGCTGTGCTTAACAGGTGAGGTGTTGGGTTAGGGTTCACGGCACATGGATCAGGGCCCTGGATGGGCTTACGAGAGTGGGAGTTATTAATGTGGTGTGGAGGGAGACCAGCATTTTGTGTGGGCTTTGCATCACCATTTAACCCAGGTCTTGCAGCGGCCCCAACAGGTTCAATGCACTCCTCAAATTTTGACATCATCTTCCGCAACACCTCTTCAAAATCTTTCCCACCTACCTTGGCTACACCCTTTAGTTTAGTGAGGTAAGTTTCAGTAAAATCAACCCCTACAGTTTCTGTGTAAACATCTGTTAAAGCATGATACAATATTTAACATTGGGATCATCAACTGACAGATAGAGGTAAGGTAAAGTGGGTGCTAACTGCTGAACAGCTAAACCAGAGGTGAACTCCACGACCTGATTCTAGTAAAACTCAGATGAGCTATCATCAACAGCTAGCATCTTGCCTACTGTACCACATTGCCGTAAATACTCAAAAACCTCATTTTTCTTGCCCGACTCAGTAATACCACTAACAATAACTACATTTGGTACCTTAATATTTACCTTAGCAAAAAAAATAAAAAATCTTACCAATCTGTTAACAAGTTAAAATGTAATAATTAAAATTCTAGTGTTGTTACACAACTCTAGGCTCCTGACTGGCTCGCCATTTTTTGTGTGACCCACTATGTGGGTTCCTTCAAGTACTCCTTCTGTTAGTTAGCTGATATGGCAAAAGTAAATTACTAAAACTACTATTACCAATACTAAACACCTAGGAGGAAATATTGGGCCTGATCAGTGGACCCTGGATTCTTGGGAGCCTAAATGTGAGTAACAACAGAAGAAATCGCACACAGTTTATAGAAAATGAGTAAAATTTACTGCATAGAATAAAGTATCCAGTTTGCATATATGACAATAATAAAAAAATTTGCACGCTTGTTAGAAAAAATACAAATTAGAATAAAGTATTTACTTTGTACAAAATAAATTAAAAAAAATACAGAACAGAATGAAAAATACAAGGTAAAGAAAATAACACTATCTATGTAGTAAAGTTTGACTCCAAAGGAAGCTTAGATAGCTCTTTAGCTTCTCAGGATGTCCTATGCAATTCAAATTCCAGTATGAATTTTGAAAGTTCATTCAATTTCTGTTTTTGTTCGATCCTTTGGGCTGGGGGCTCGTCATCAATTTGTCTTCTCAGCAGCACATGAACTCCAAAAACCTGACCGATGCTTTACGAGGCTACAGCAGAGATTTCCGGACTTCACTCTGCTCACAACTGCAGCTTTCGATCTCCGAGTTTCTGAAGCTATGATCGTTCAGTCAAATTGGATCTCACCGTCTCTTCCTCTCTGTCTGATGAAATCCCCAGCTGCATAGAGCAGCAGTGGAAAAAAGAAAAGGGGCGGGACAATCAACCTCTTTGTCATCAACCTTATTGGCTGATGTCAAATCAGACTACGTGAGGTTATTGGCTGTTTGGTCCATCACTCAAACATACACTGGGTTACACTTTTTGACACTGGGTTACATTACTGTTGTGTGTACCTCATGTATAGTTTTTCTTAAAAACAGGTCTCTCTTGTGAATGAGTCCTTGTGACTCAGTGAGACTAACCTGTATAAATAAAGGTTGAATGAATGTTCAATGTTAATAAAACTGTAAAATAAAAATAGCTCTAAAAGAAGTACAAGCAGATAGAGCTATAAACGACTTTACATTGTAAATAATTTCCATTTCTGTTACATATATGTATATATATATATATATATATATATATATATATATATATATATATATGTATGTATAAAAACAACCCTTTTAGTTTTGTGGATCTCAGGAGGGAGTTCAAAATGAATCTTTTGTCTCTGAGTGTAATGTCACCTGTTGCGTCTGGAAGAATCTGGCGAGGTATTGTTGGTACAACTGAACTAACATCAAAGTTGTCTACTTACATTTCTTTTGTTATTTGATCAGTCACCCATCCAGTCTTCTTGCATCTCTCTTTTCCTTCTCCCAGTTTGGCTTTAAAATAAGATTAATAATAATAATAAGAAGAAGATTAGTCCAGTATTTTGTTGCTAGTTGTTCACTTGTGCTAATGGCATTTCTCCCATTTCTACTCCAAGTGCTGCTGCTGTTCTGATGGTTCTGAATGCTCCTGTACATTTTCTTAATGTCTGGTATTGCATATTGTCCATTTTTTCCAGAAGTGTTCTTGCTGCTGGTCCATAAATTACACATCCATATCAATCATATTTAAATGTGCTTTATTGCTTTTCTCAAGAGAAAACCCATTCATATGGAGAAAACATGTAATTTCCACCCAGCCATATCCAAGAGTGGGAGGCACACCGATGTCTTTCTTGTTGTGAGACTACAGCTTTAACCACTGCTGCACCATGCCACCCAGGAATGTTAGATTTATGGACAACTACTTTTTGACAGTATAATGAGCAAGTTATTACCCTAATAATGAAAACACTGTCACTGAATGTTAGCAAACGATGCATTTTTCCAAAGTTCATTCAGCCTCAGTAGATATGTTAAGGGCCCATGAGCAAGGCCCTTAACCCCCACCATGTGCTCCCTAAACAGGTCTCTCTTGAAAATGAGTTCTCGTGGCTCAATGAGACTAACCTGGATAAATAAAGGCTAAATGAAAAAAAAAAAAAGCCAAAAATACAAAACAAACAAACAAACAAACAAAAAACAAAACAAAGACAAGACTTTGTTGCAGCTCCTCAGACTAGTCTTTTGAATACAATTCGAAGCTAAACCAATCAGAGCACGAAGAGCAAAGCTTCAAATGTACCGCAGCTGCTATTGGCTGAAATTATTGGAGCAACTCAACAACCAATCAGAACGCGTTTTCTTGGTAAACACATCGCTTCGACCAATCAGATGCCGAAGCCCAGTTTTTTTCGCCTGACGTCATTGGCTCCGAGCTGGTTCCGAGGCTCCAGCCCTGCTCTGTTGTCAGGAACTAGGCAGCAAACCAGCGACGTGGAAAGAAGACCGAGTCTTCGTGAAAACACGGGAGTTACGTTGGAAATGTCTTTCGTCCTGGAGTTGTGACTCCTCAGGGGAACACTGGGGCAGGAAGTGGTTTGGAGCTAACCGCTACCTCGGGTTTGGCTGAAGATCCCAGCTGAGCTGTGGAGCTGATCGGTGCCGACCTCACCTTTACTGGCACGGCTGCACACACCGAAGGCCAAAGACATGGTGTCGTGGATCATTTCCAGATGTGTTGTGTAAGTACAAGCACTTGAAAGTGTTGAGAATAAACTTTTTTAACTTGGGAAAAACTTATTTGTTAGCTTCCTGTGCTAACTTGCTAAGCTAAGCTTTTAAAGCTGGAAACGTCCTTGTTGCTCATTCTAACTGGTTCTGCTGGACTAGAACGAGCCTGTGTGACCCAGTCCAGTGTTTTTGCTCCGCCTGTGATGCCAACATCACATGTGTGTGATTCATCGTGTTTTCAGAACAAGCCTGTACGTGTTCAGGATGCTCAGCAGTCTTTCTGGAGGTGCAGTCCAGTTGAACCAGTTCACTGTGCTGAACACACTGGTTTCTCCCGTACTGCTTGCGCAATGTCTTATTGAAATCCCATTAAAGTACCACAGAGGATAAAGGCAGGGGTATAAAACTTTTAGTGCACTTTCTGCTGTGTTTCACCATCTTTGATTTCGTTTGAAAACGGCCTCTGTGAAGGAAAGACCAAACGGTGTCATCACAGCGGGACAACCCTCTGAGGGATGAGGTGAAACTATCAACGTAGCTTTTTCAGCTGCTTTCTTCTGCAGGAGGAAAGTTTTGTAATTTGTTTTGCCCCGTATGCCCACTGGATTATTCAGCCTGGGTTCGAACTGGCAGCCCCAGAATTACAAGACTGTGGCGCTTAACCACTGAGCTACCGCAGAGAGGACATGGAGGTGGTTGGAGTGAGGACAGAGGATGCAGAGGACCGAGTGAGATGGAGGAGGACGACTCGCTGTGGAGACCCCTGAACAGGGAAAAGCCGAAAGAAGAAGGAAGAAAGCCACTGGGACGTCGTGTTTAGAAAATAAATGTCTTGGTTTCTCTGAAACTTCTGCAACATATGGAAACAACACAAACCCCAAAATACATTACGGCAAAGACTGGTTCATCCCAAAGATCCAGTCCCCCGGCACAAACAGAGTAATGTTGTGCATGCTGGCCTCAGTTCTCCGGGCTGTAGGATCATCTGAATGCCAGGCAGAACTCCTCCCAGAGCGATGGCCACTCCTCCCAGCAGTCTGCTGAGCTCCTCGTCACTGTGGACAGCCAACTGTAGGTGCCGATGGACGATCCTGTCCATCTGCTGTCATGAGCCGTGTTTCCTGCTAGTTCCAGGATCTCAGTGGTCAGGCACTTGAGCACAGCTGGCAGGTAGATGAGAATGCATCCACAGAACATCCTTTTCAACTCATTTGAGATTTGAGGCTGTAGTTGAGATATTATTTGAGCTTTGAGAAGTTAATCAGCTGCTGTTGTTGTAGAAAACTGCCTTGTTGCCATGGTTACGCATCATAACAAATGTCCAAAACTAAAAAAGTTTAATTAAAAATCCTTCCAGCTGCTCAGCATCTGATACCAGAGGAAACAGTCATCCAAAAAATATGATTTACATCCAGAAAAAGAGGAATTAAAGTTTCCAAAAGCAAAATCTCAGAATGAAAGTAACAGAGCTGCTCCAACATGCAGACACCTGGAGCGGAGCAGTTCAGCTGCGCACTTAATTTTCCTCTGGGATTAATAAAAGTATTATTGAATTGAAACGGGGGCGGAGCCTCTGGGTTCAACTGTCCCCCTCTTACAATGCTGTTATTGCTAGTATCACTCAGCCCCCTGTGAATAGCAAGCGGCCGTCAGGTGCTGATGATTGGTCATTAGGCTGATGGTCCTTTATCATGTGAACAACTAGGTTTGGCTGTCAGCAGCAAACTGGTCGATCCACAATAGCAATGTTTACATGGACATAAGTAATCAGATTAAACGGCCGTTCAGAATAAAAACGTGTCATGTAAACGCCCCATTCAGATTATTCTTTGTTGATTCAGCTCGATCCAAAATAATGTGTGATCACAACGAGACAGGTGGTTTATGCTGATTCATAATCCGAACAGTGCGCATGTAAACACTTAATCTGATTATTTTATTCAGATCGTGAAAAACTGACCTGACTGTGCATGTGAGACCTGTGTCTACCTGACGTATTTCCACCTGGCTAATGCTAATAACGTTAGCATGTCAGGTAAGTCACAGGGTCGGTGAGTGACATCATGTCTACTAGAAACTTTGAAAGAGCTCAGAATGATCTGTGTGACCTGTAGATCAGTCAGGGAGTGCAGCAACGGCATTAAAACCTGTCGTGGGTACATTTTGGGCGCTCAGCTTTGTTTACGTTCATCACCCAGAAGTAGAACTTCTTCTTTGGTGTTTTTGTGAAGGACAGTTGACCACTCTACACACGTCAGTCCTTCTGTTCAGAACAAAGCCCGCTGCAGGTACATGCCTGTCGTGAACAGATTGTACCCATGTAAACCATACATTTGGATTAATTAATCTGAAATACATTTCCATCCATCAAAGAATGTTGCGCATGTAAACATGGCTATTAACAAGGTGCTATTTATAAGACTGAGTTTATTGTAGCTCCTCAGACTGAAGAAGTCTTTTGGATAAAAGAAGAAATGTTTTAACAAGAAGAAACCATCCAGAGGACCTGACTTCACCTTTTTGGATTTATCTACCTGGATCATTGAGCATGCATCAGGATATTTACACAATAGTATTGTGTGTGTTGAAAGTAGCCACATGAAATTTTAGGAAGAACAGAAACATTCAATAATTAAAAAAAAAAATCTTAGTCCAGATCCCTGGATTTGTTACGTTGAAATCACAAAATAATACGAATACTTGAAATGTAGCATTGACATTGTGTTGTATATTTTTTAACATTAACTCCTACCAATATCCAAGGAGGGCAGTCTGCCCCATTTTGTAAACTTTTCCTTTGAGCTTTGCCGTCACCTTTTTGTTGTGAATCACTCCTCTCCATCACTCCATCCTGCCTGGACTCTCTTTTTCACTATCACACTCCACATTTTTCTGGACAGTGGACCCCATGTACTTGAAGTCCTGCAGCTTTGTGATGAGTGAGTCTAGTCTGTGCCACCCGGAGGTGGCATGGACACAGACCCTCCCTTCCTGCTGCCCAGCATGCACTGACCCTAACGGGCATTTTCTCCCAACTCCTGCTGGGTGGCAGTAGTTGGTGCATGTAGCATCACTGCACCCACAGACTCTTAGGACCAATGTATTCAAGCAGCTGCTGCCTGCAGCAAAATCACAACCTACTCTGGTTGTGCATATTGGGCAGACATATTGTTAATAGTTTTGTGGGATTTATTCCTGAATTTAATTAGGGATGCTCCGATCGTTTTTTTGCTGCCGATCACCCATGGTGCCGATCACATGGCTTTATTTTTGTATTAATGAAGATGAGTGCTACTTGCTACGTGATCTGGAAAATAGGAACAATAAAGTCATTTTAATTTGGACAATTTACTTTTCCAAGACAAATATGTACCTTATATCAAAAAATCCTTGCAGGCACAAAACGGCAACTGTTGAGTCAAAAGGACAACAGGATGGATGTACCTGCTGTCAGTAACAGACTCTTTAACGGACTGAAAACATTAAGGCTGTCAACAGGCTACATGGTGCAGACAGTCCAATAAATCTCTGCGTTGCCTTCATCAAATATTGTCCAGTCAAAAAGGATTCAAAGCCACATGCACGTTGAATTCAAATCAGCTGTCCTAAGTTACTAAATCAACAACACCTGAGAGGTGGCTGACTCGTGTGCATGGACAAACTGTAGTGCATTGTCAAATAAATGCCTCTGACTTGTTGCTAAGCATTGTGGGAAGATTCTTTTACTAAAGAAGAGCGTCTCAGTCAACCTTTATTTAGACAGGTTAGTCCCATTGAGCCTCGAGGACTCGTTCACAAGAGAGACCTGATTTCAACAAGAACGATGACAACAATGCAGTTATAAAAAGTCATACAGATTTTTATTTTCTAATTTTTTTTACAAATAGGATGGTTAGAAAGAAAAGTAACAAAAAACAGCTAGATTCTAAGGCGAATGCAGAAAACCAAAACACTCGGCTCAGCGTCAGCGTTTTCAGTCACGAGTCTCTTCCTGTGTCCGTCCACCATGTTGGACGCAGAGCTGAATCAAAGCTCACTCTCCACACCTGTGCAGGTTCAGACAGGTAAGCGGTCCTTATTGGTTTCCCAGTATCCCAGTGGTCACTGGTTCAAATCCCGGTCTGGTGGCCTTTCTGGGTGGAGTTTGCATGTTCTCTCCGTGCATGCGTGGGTTTTCTCCGGGTGCTCCAGTTTCCTCCCACAGTCCAAAAACATGCATGTTAGGCTGATTGGTAACTCTAAATTGTCCCTAGGTGAGAGTGAGAGAGTGAATGGTTGTTTGTCTCGTTTGTCTCTATGTGTCCCTGTGATGGACTTGCGACCCGTCCAGGGTGTCCCCCGCCCCTCGCACAGTGATTGCTGGACATGGGCACCAGCGACCCCCGTGACCCAAAATGGAACAAGCGGGTAAAGAAAATGGATGGATGTTTTTCTCTGACCTGAAAAACACAAAGGTCTCATTTGTTGTGTATCGTACCACTTGAAAGTCTTTCACTAACAACAGTTTGATGATCACTTCTTTCTAAGACTTTTTAAATTGCTTCATTGAATACCGTATTTTCCAGCGTATACGTCGCATCATTTTGCCTAATTTGCATGCCCTTCGACTTTTTTTTTGTGGCCATTATTTATAAACCAGGTTTTGGCTGAGATATGACTGTCTTCATTCATTCTGACATGGAAAATATTGAACACTACCATTTTCAGCCACTAGATGGCACTTGAGTAGTATGTCATGTCGTTGTGTCATGTAATTGGTAAAAGTGGCTATTATTGATCCAATCAGCTTGCCATAGCCTGCCATCTACGTCCAGTTCTAGGATCATGCCTGGAGCAATGGTCATATCAGCTTGATTTCGCTGCATCGCCCTGACCGAAGGCAGCTGATCTGACCATTGAAGTGCATTTATGAAGTAAAAGTTCAACTGAGACACACCTTTTCTATAATGTCGAGCAAACAAACAATTGTTTTAGGTGCTTATCTTGTTAAATTTGGAAGGAATGCGCAGCG